TTCTCTTCATTACTGTAGGTCGTGTCTAGTCTGGTGCACGCGTCACTTGATGTACAACCCTCCTCCAAGCACCCCTGTCCTCTACTGTATTTACGGCTTGTGGAACTGTCAGGCCAGTAAGATTTTCTACAGCATCTAGCCAACGGGTAGGTGAGCGACCACGAGGTCTTTTCCCGTTAAACTGACCAACAACCACAAGCTTCTCCAGATTGTTGGGGCCTGTCTTTGTTTAGCCAATCTAAATACCTACGCACTGAAATATTCATTAGCTTCTAGAATAAATAAGCAGTAGGTTCTTTACATTGAAAAAATGTATCCATATTTCAATAAAGCGAGTTTCGCTAATTTCTTGAACTTCCTAAACTACGTAATCAAATATAATTCTAAACTCATAACAGTCATAACTGAAACAATTTAACTACGTTCAAAACAAAAACAAAACATTTAACCTAAATCAAAGCAAACATTACTCACCTATAAAAAACAACATCAAAAAACCTCAAGTATTTCGCAAAAACCGTTTAAATAGTTAACAAATCTACAGTAATATTTAACTATGATAGTTAACGTAGCAATTAAAACGCCGTACATACCGATACACATAGTTAAATAAATTGGGTATGGTAATCGTTTTGTTGACGGTACATCCGCGCGCCGTGGGAATTTTGTAAACGACGCGTGGTACACGACTGAGATCTCGGTGCGTATGTGCTGTGGGGGAACTTAGAACTTTGATACTTTAAAGTATTACTAGGTATTAGCCCGTATATCCCTTTTTTTCTGTTGGGCCCCATCTGTGGTGGTCTGATGGCTCTTTGAGGCGCGCGCGGAACGCGACGCAGGTCCGTTTCTGGTCGGACGGGGAGCCACCCATGCTCGCCGTCCGCAGGCCCGCGCTTATGGTGGCCGTAGATCGTAGCCCGTATATCCCTAAGCGGTCACCGGTGACCGCTCTCCACTAACTACATTATAAACCTTATTCCCAATTTTTAGAGACTACTTTTGTATGAAGAAATTTAGGGGATGATTTTCAACAGTTTTCAACAGGATGGTTTTGAGATCTTCTAAGCACGCACAGTCACGATCGTTCTCTATCCTATTTGGCAAAGTTCTTTTGGAGCATTACAGTCTATGGGTGAAGGTTATTTTTCTTACAAGTACCAATGTGACTGTTTCCGAGTTATATGTACTTTCTAAGATTATCTAGATACCACTGACAACCGGTGAAGGAAAACATCGTGAGGAAACCTGGGCTTATAATTTCTAATTGTAAGTTTGTAATCGCCAATCCGCATTGAGCAAGCGTGGTGATTAATGCTCAAACCTTCTCCGTGTGAGAAGAGGCTTTGCTCAGCAGTGGGTATTTACATGCTGTTGATGTGAAGCTTTCAATACTTTATTCCTAAAGGACAAGCGCCTTTTTAAGTTGTCTGCCTATCACATATGTAAGAGAATCGGGGATGTCACACAAGTTTTTGAAGATAAACTTCAAAGTTACATTCAAGTTCAAAATTAATTAAATATAATATCAAGCAACTGTCTCAATGGTCGAGTGGCCGACTGCGACTACCGGGCAAGAGGTCTCGGGTTCGATTCCCGGGCCGAGCAAAGAATTACTGGGTTTTAAAATAACTCAGTAGTAACACGGAGTCTGGTAATGTGCCCGGTATATAGCAATAGGCTCACCCCCTATTACATGGGACTCATAACATAAAATAGTGAAAAGCGGGTGTTACATTGTAGTTAACGTGGCGTTAAGTGCTGCAATATGCACCTCTGTACTGATAAAAGCGTGTAGTTATGATCTAGTCAAATTCAATTATGACCAATTCTACCACTTAACCTGCCACGCTTAAACATAGACGGTCACAATACAGCTCGCATGCTAAGCTTGTCATTAACATTACTCGTTTACATACTTGAATGGGAGATGTGATATCTTTTACTCATGTGTGGGCGTCACACCACGGCTACTGGTCTTGAAATTCGTATTATTAATGAATTAAAATACACCGAACTGAATACAAATGAGGTTCTGCTAAAATTTACTACCTAACTCGGTATTTCAAATATTTTGGCACCAATTTTATGTTATTTTGTGTTATTAAAATGCTGGAATGTGATATGTGATATCGAATGTTACGCAATTTAGTCTTTAACCTTCATTTCCTGATCTATAAATTATTAGGCTGCTGCGCAGAAATAGTCGGTCACTAAACTCAACCGAACTAGACTAAAACGTGGAGATCAAAAATAATAGGGTAGATGTCTAATTTTTATTTTAATGTCCGTCTGGTAGATTATTTCAAATCATTAGACACGTATATTTTATTTTCTTACAGAAACGAATACTTTCGACGATATATTGATTTGAAATGTCGCGTGACGTCACTTCTATGTACATATTATACGTAGAAATGACGTTTTAGCCCCCACTCCTAAACTTTGATTCGTTTTATCTAAGTTTTATTTTATTATACAACAAAATAAAAAAATACGTGTCTAATATATTTTCATTGCCTAACTTACGGACTAAATAAAGTTTTTATTTTCATACCCGGGCATCATCCCAATTATGACTATAGATAAAATCATCAAGTATGTCACATTGATCTACTGATCAAAATCGCAGTACTTATTAAGTCTAATATAAGATTGAAATTCTTATAAAATATTGCTATTATCAAAGTTATAATTTTAGTTTCAAATTGAAACCAGTCAACTTCAACTTTATAAATATCGCATTGCTATTCTGATTATAAGCACATGTGAAATACTTAGTATTATCATGAGCCCCTCTTCTATTCTAATAAGAACCTATAAGCTTTTATATCAAAAACTTCATTCATATGCTTCTTCCACATACATAGACCGCCTTCTCACCATTCAAGTGATGTAAACACTCCCTAGGACTAAAACCTCATTATTTTTATACTCGTTTGATAAAGTTCCGTAACAAGCCTTACATGTACGCGTATTGCATCCCACTGACGGATGTCCTCCGTACCCCGTTACTAACGGATAGGGATTTAGGCCACAACGGTCCATGCTCCGCACTTATTATAATGCTGTACCATAACCGTTTTATAGGAGGAATCAACGAGGTAATTGATAGATTTTACATTTAAATGAAAAGTGTTATGCGGATAGCAAGCCATCTTTTGCTTAACAGGAGAAATTGAGAAGAAAATTATTTAGTCCAAGTGTTTTAAGAAAAAAAAAAATTATTCAGTCATCAGCCAGAGAACTTTTACAATGTTCCGAGAAACAAGCAAGCTTTACCGACTTGTAGACAGATAGACTGATGGTTAGTTCTATTCGCCGTCTCCAAACTTAAAATCTATCAATCGCATATGAGCCCAAGAAGGTTATTTGGCCATTAGCAATAGTTTAGTTCCAATCCCTTGGTTAATATTTTGCACAACTCTCAATTTCACAATACCAATTCATTCACTGACCAGCATCGCGGCATAGCGTAGTTACTTACTCACTACATACAAAACTAACTTTCTCATAGCCATGGCGTACCATTCATAAAGTATAATTATTATTTACTGAATGAAAACCACAGGAAATGGGCTCCTCTCGGCCGCGACCAATTGCAAGCCTACGGTTACGTCAATATCGCTATTACGCGAGGCTTTGGAGAATTGTAGCCGAGATGCGTGTACGCAGCGGTTTGTAAGGGCAAGACACAGAGAACTTATTATGTTGAATGAACTTATGTAATTTAGGAATATTGAATTGTATAATTTGAAAGTGATCGACATTTCTAAATGTTTACTAATGCTATTAATGTAACCCTTAAAAGAATTTCTTACAAAAACAGCAGTTAAAGCCGATCCGAGTAAACAAATCTCGGAAAATAATAAGTAATGTATTTACTTTGGTCTTTATTTGTTTGCATCGCAGAAGCTTTACATGAAGGGCTGACTGCCCTGACCTGTGCCTTTATGAAACTTTAACTTTATGTAGAAATCCGAGAGTTGAGAAACAAATCTGTTGCAATGTATTGGTGTCGCCTGTGGGATTGTGACCTTCCACCGACAGTGAGTGGGTGGTGTCGCGAAATTAGTAAATATGGAGATGTGCATATGTCGCAAATTCCACAAATATGCAAGTCGCAGACCATGGTGCTACAATCCCACTCAGTGAATCATTGTGTCGAAACATTTACTTTAACTCGTCGAGTACTGGTTTTGTAGACACAATTATAGAACAATAGGTTGCGGTCACCGGTGACCGCTTGGTTTTTGACAGTTTAATAACAACATTGTTACATTCGACACACACTACAACGACCCCCGAGTAATTAGAGAACAGTGTGGCACCAGCCTTACATTCCAATCACGCGCACACTAACAAAAATCGTTTGTTTTTATCTTCAACCTCAACCAAATTCCGTACCAACAATTATAGTATGTGTGTTTCCCGTTACAAAATGATATTATTTTTTTCGTTAACATTCTTAGCATGGCCGCGTCGAGTATCTGTGTCTACAAAAAGCTCCCTTATTTACTTGACAAATACGATCGTAGTGGGACTAGTGGGCAAGATCACAAGATGTCTTGCGGACGTGACCAATTGGACCGGATGCACGGCCGTGACCGGAAGTCCCCCTTTCATCTCAAAATGGCCGCGTCGAATCTGTAAGAAGCAAGGAATTTTTCTAGGCTGCTGACCACTGAATATTTGTCAAACAACTCCGACGATATCACGAAGCGAACTTTTTTTGACGAAACTTTTTAGGCTTCCCGGTGACTCGCGGATACTTTTTTATTGGCTTTCGGCGAAGCTGTGCCTTGTTAGGTGCATACCAACAGTGTGATCTTGAATGAACACGGAACGTTATCAGGTTGTTTTTGCCAGCAAATAGAATCAGTAAAATTCGCCAGTCCTGTTTAATCGCATTACATTATGTAAAAAATGATTAACCAAAATATTTTAAATAACTTCTCTAAGACCATTCCAATAATCTATTTTATTTCTCTTATTTCCAGGCAAGCTGTACGCAGCGCTGGGTCGTCGCGGTGGTCGTGTAGTAGGCAGTGACCTGCAGAGTGGCTCCGCATCATTTAGAGTGCAGGCTCTACTGCCCGTCGCTGAGAGCTTCAAGTTTGCGCTGGAGTTGAGGACTCACACGTCTGGACTCGCTGCTCCTCAGATGTTGTTCAGTCATTGGGAGGTTAGTATCGTAGTAATTTATAGCCTTGTCAGGTACAAATACATAAAATAGGTAACGCAAACAGAGAAAGTATGACTATTCTTCACATTCTTCTTGTTTGCTAGAAAAATGTTACCAATGCGATAAATATGAAAATATTTGAAATATGATAAATATGAAACGGCAAGCCAAAGCTTAGGCACTGTTTAAATCTGATACAGCCAACGCTGCAACGTGGCGTTTAGAACTCTGCCCTGGCTTACTTAAAAAATCATGTTGGGTAGCAGCTGCAATACAGTTTCCCAAATCAATTTATTGCTCAACTAAGACAAGTAATCTACCCAACATGTATAAAACACTAAACACCTCCAAATGTTCATTTCTAGGTGATTGACATCGATCCATTCTGGAAGCCGCGCACTGAGGAGGAGTACTTGCATTGGGGAGAGAAATGGGACGGAGTGAACAGAGCCAAGGCCTACATGGATTCAGTCAGGGCTCGCAAGGGGCTGGCTACGGACAAACAGCTTGTACAACACGCTGAGAAACAGAGAACACTGTCTAAAAACAAATAAGGTCCAATTTTTCCTCCTCCTTCCCCAATGTATCACAATTGTTTACCATCAGGTAATCAATCTGCTTGTTTGCCTTTTCATCCCATAGAAATATACCTGTATACCTATAATCGCCTGTAATGCCTTAATTAAAGAATTACTTCAGGATAATCAATGCAAATGATACTTAGAACTCATGTTAATAAGTAACTAAATCTGAATGATCAATACAAATAGTATCTATTTAAAAATGTATCCCATATGCCTTGCTGTCATGAGTGTATGTATAATATGTATGTATGAATTCATAATAAAAAATGTTACCGTCCCATAAGCCCATAATTTCATGGATTTTGTTAACATCGAATTTATGTGTCAAATGTCAGCATTATGTATCACTAGATACTCAATTGATATTATGTGATAATTTTAGTTTACATGGCAACTTTTCGATGAATAAGTACCTAAATAAAATAATGAATTATGTTCGTAATATGATATTAAATGAATTATGATTTGATTTCTGTACAGTAAGCATTAAGCAATGCGTGCTTTGAAGGCTAATTCCTACATAACTATATTTCGGTATTTAATATACTTGTCACAAATAACAAAGTTTGGAAAGGAATTCTATATTAGGAAAAAATATTGTAATCATTTGTAACGGTACAGCATTTTACATGCAAACTTGTTTACTAAAAATAACTTGTGACGTACGAACGATGACGTCAAATGGAAATCTATTAATAATTCGAAATACTCTGAATGTTTGGCTGTACCTGCTATGGTAATGTCAACCTTAATGGCGAATTTATTAAACTGGCTTAGCTAATTTGTTTTATAGTTGATGGTTGTTATTACGAATGAATTTATTGTAATTATTTTCGTTTTACATCGTTTCTGTTCTAAAATATATACTTTTATATAGTGTAGGAGCCGTTGAACTAGAAAAAGGTAATAATTTTTTCGTAATCTAAAATTAAACACTGAAATAGTATTAATATACTTTCTTACCACATACTCATTAAACTGTCAAATACCAAGCGGTCACCGGTGACCGCAATCTATTGTTCTATAATTGTGTCTGCAAAACCGGTACTCGACGAGTTAAATCACGAATTCAATTTCCATTCTGATAAAATACATTACTTTTAGTGCCAAAACATTTTGTATTTGTATCAAAATCATTTTTAAAATTACTTGTAAGATATTCATTTATGTACTACATTAAGAACTCATATCGGCTGATTTCTTTTTACATTACATTTTGTTTAGGCAGATATAAACATAATAATATTACCTCTTTTATTACTTACTATTTTATTTAATTGTTGTCCTAATAAATTTTAAGTGATCATAGTATACTTTAGGTACTTGTTAGTATATGATTAAATTCGTTGTGTATGAAATGAATAGATACTTATATCGAAGTAGAACTTTGTAGATATAAATACATAGTATTTATTATGAACAGTTGTCTTACAAATTGTATTTAATGTACTTTTCATACTCGTATTTTTAATATAATGATAGAAAAATATATTTTGTGTTTTATTGTATTTCACCATTTCAGCTTTATTTGCCCACATTCATACATTTTCGTCGAATAAGAGTACTTCAAAGTATTCGATGTAAGGTGACACTTACTTTTCACTACAGTTAACAGATTACCGAGGGACATCCCATCCTATGCCAAGGTCACTTGGGAAGACCTTGGGTGGGATAGTTTTGACGGATCGTATCTATGACCGCTTGAAAACCTTAATCTTTTAATATCTCGGAACTTAAGTCCTAGTTATAAAATAACAAAATTTTCGTCACTCTCTATAGGTACATACGACCCCAGGGAAAATATATTTTTTTAATTGAAATACAGGGTGGAAGTACCATTGGGCTGGGGTGGGCCCAATTATAAAATCTCAAACACTTGTTGGCGAGTCCGATTCTAATTACTAATTTTCGATGATAAGATAGTTACACATGATCTTGTTCTAGCGTTCGATGGTTGATGCGTTTGTAATTGATGAAAAGTGAGTGGACTGCCAGTTACTTCTACCTACGCTATTCTTTAATCTTTTTTGTATTCTGTGTATGCACTCAGCAATCCACTCAGCGATTTCGACCATCAAGCATCAGCTATAAGAATGTTGTCTAGGTATAGGTAAAGGATTAAAATAAAACCACTATTCATGTTCAATTAACTCATCTATCTATTATTTACAAAATCAACAAACAAATCACAATTTCAAACAAAAATATACAAAACAAACTTTGAAATCATACAACATACGCGTCCATAACAATTCCTATGTGGTACAACTTAAACATCACTATTAAATCAGTTCTATCACCCTTTGATACAATTACGCTATTACAAACTGACTTTTCATATAATATACATAAAAATTTAGCTTTATATCAACGTCGGATTAGTATAATTCTATTTCCACAAGCTTATAATTCATATAAAGTGCATTATGATGTTTTACTGAGCTATCACTAAACTCTTTATAAGTAACGAAAATAAATAATCTTGTTTGTCAAAACAATTTGATGAAACATCAGCTACATCTCACTGGATACTCGATATTGCACCGGATAAACATTAAAAAATTACGTAAAATAATTATATTTACATGAATATAATTCAAATGAACAGCACGATCCTACCTAAGGACTAACTATTGTACAAACCTCACTATTCTACGTTGATATTTTGTTTTAATCTAGTGTTTTTGTCTTTGGCAATATTCATTTCTGATAAATGACTCGTTATAGCGTGGACAGCCTTGAATAACACGAAATTGTGGAGCAAGTGTACATATACAACTTTAGGACATTTTGAAGCGATTTAGTTGCAACAATGAATTCCTTTTATTGACTGTTTAGTGACTTGGTAAGCCTAAGTCGGTTAATCTTTAAGCATATAATATATTGGGTAGAAGTGACATTATGTATTAAACTTAAAGTTTATAATCTAGTACATGAAGATATACACTTATAAATAATGGAATACGGTTCAATTTCGCATGACTAAATTAACTAAAAGTTATACTTTCTTTAAACAATAAGTTACATGTAAAATCATTCGTAATTGGAACTAGCTGACCATTATCTAGCAATTTTCCGAATTTTCCTCTTCAGAAGTACCTTTTTAGGACTTCAATGAATAATTGAAAAATAAATTGCCGTATTGGTCCAGTCGTTATGACTTTAGCGCTAGTAACAACATTAAACGATTCATTTTAGTTGCAAATATTTTTAAATAGACCTTATTGGCTGTTAAATCATGTACTAGAATTACACTCAAGTTACAGCGTCCCTTCTACCTTCTATAAAGGCCTAACTTGTCATTTGGAATACAAACAGTGGTGGAACACTTTGGCACAGATGGTAACCTAGTACGACATTAGGCCCTTATTACGTAACATATAAACAACAGCCAATTAACCTAGGTGACGCGATACAACGAACATATTTGTACATAAATACATCGAGTGAATAGTTCGAGGAATAATTAGCTAGCATCATCTAATCTTGTGGAGCAATGTGCTAAAAAATTATTATACACCATTCCCTAAACTGACCAGTACAAAATAAAGTAATTGGAACTACAATAAATAAGAATGTGTCATATATTTATTTATATATTTATATAACACTTAATTGCACAAACTTTACAAGTGCCCGTAACATAATTCCACATTTACATTAGTTTTAAAATCATCCTAAGTACATACTAACCCCAATAGAACCGAATAACAAATCCTTGAGCTTGACCAAAGACTAGAATAATAAATTATTAATTACATAAACTTTACAAGTAGTTACTATAAACGACACTATTTTAAAATTAAAATGTCCAAAACTCGCCTTCATTCTGCATGATTGTATTTCATTAAAAACGGTAGCTTCACTAAAATCATACTAAATCTCAAACCTAATACTTCATGCATCGATAAAAATGTAAAAAATCCGTATCAATTATTTCATTACGTATGTTTATTCTAATTACTTATTGTCGAAATAGCAGTTTGCGATATTTGTTACAATTTTGTGTAAAGGAATTTGTAGTGTTTGGAATCGATACAGAAATATTAGGTGCACAATAATGTTGCGTCTACAGAGTGTGTCATTGTATTGGCAAGAAATATTAAGAAACTATTTGGCAATAAATGTATGAAGCGAGCATTGGGCCCGTGAGACGCACTCCACTCTCGACACATACTGTGGATACTTTCTCGTACGAGGAATGTTGCTTTACAATAACTCCTTATCTAATACTAGCACCTGCCTTCTGACACTATCACATTCACAATTGTATACTCTCCATTGAAACCGCGCTACACTTACTGTGTCACATTCAATATTTCATGATTCACTTCATAAATACATACGTATTTTAAAATTTACATAAAGTAATCCGACGTGGTATGACGTCAAAAAGTTCATCTTACATTAAAATATGCAGCAATACAGGAATAAACAGCAACATTGACTTATAATATTCGTTCCCCACAAAGACTAAGCACATACAATTTCAATGTGTTACACGAATATATTGAAGTTTGCAAAGATATAGAATTGTGATTATGAAAATATCTATCAAGAAGCCGAGACGAAGGAACGCGAAGAATGTTGACATTCGTTTTATTACAATTAAAATGCAGAGCACATTTATAGAGAAAATTGTGCGGTAATATGAAATGAGATAGTTATAAATGCCATTTATACCAAAGAACAGAATAGAAACGTTCTGTAAGATAAACAATATCTCATACTTTTACAGAGTGTACTTATAAATCGTGTTTGCAAGGAATTCGTCCATTCATCTCGACCACGCATCTTAAATCCCAGTACGTTTGTGTTTGACACAAATTAATATGACATAGCAATGCCTTATAGACATCACGGCTTACTGCCGCTGTATATACAAATCACATACTTGATAATATATGAAGAAGTTACATTTATTATTGTTTAACTTTTACTATATTGCTGATACGTTGTTCAAAGAGGTAGTCAAAGGTGTCGTGAATACGACAATCAACCTAAATATTTTTTAAATGTTATTTTTTTTTATTTTGACAATCTTACTCATTTTCATTTCATCAAGTTTCATTAATCCTGCTTTTAACAAAAATGAACGATATTAGCAACATAGCAAAAGTCGAACAAAAAGCAAAATATTTCAGCAAGAACATAATTTAATATTAAGAACTTGATTCTATTAAAACAACGATGCATTAACAAAAACATCTAAAATATAGACATGTGAAGACGCGAATATTATTTGGTATATATCATGATTATACTTTTTATAAAACATATTCAACAATGAAGCGAACATTTAAATTACGATAAAATGCAAAAGTTATATAATAAAAATTATAAATTCGGGTACAGAGCCGTACTATCGCTAAAGCGAACTAGTCAAGTGTCTAGGGCGCCAGGTTATAAGAGGGGCGCCGCGAGACGCCCGTACCCAACTGCTCATAAGGGCATGAAGTGCTTGTCTAGGGTACTCTCTAGGTTTGATCCGGCTCTGTTAGGGTCCAATATTAACAAATAATTGTTACAAGTGCATAGAACAGGGAAATGTGTCACTAAATAACCACATAATACCTATACGCTTTGTGGGTACTGTCATATACTTAGACAATTAGTTCTTAAATATTTGGACACCTATATTACACGTTTCCTCACAATATAATAAATTCAACATACATATTATATTTCTTTGTCGCTTCATAGAGGTTCATTGTTCTTTGAGACCAAAAATGGCGGATTTTTATCCGCGACTACTTTAAAACTGAATAATTGCATAAATAAATAAAAACTAGTATCACTTCCGTCTCACTGAGACATGGAAAAGCGTTTCCTTGTCGGATTGCAGCACAGCTGTCGAACTAAATACAATAATTTCCTCGAGAGATATCCACGTAGTGATAACCCTAGCAAGCGCTAACAGTAACAAGTTACTATAGCATGAAGTGTACTTAGGGTTGTCGATTCTCGGATATTTCGGGATATCTCGGATACTTTTTAAATGCATCAATCTGTATACTTGTATTTTCGGATATCTACAACCCTAAGTTTGCTTCATTATAATGCTGTATAATCTGGTCACCTGGGTCTTCAGTCCCATTGGTCGCTCGCTAACTGAACAGGGTCTCGTTGGGCACGTCTAGGTTTAGGTCCATGTTGAGATCCATGGTGCCTGATTGAGCCATATCGGTTAGTATCACGCCCGATAGCGCTTCTAAGGATTGTCTGACCTGGAAATAAAGATAATTGTTATTATGAAGTTTTATTATACTCACGAAAAATACAGAAGAGTAACGATGGAGTTTCTTGCTCGTTCTTCTCCATTAGACTACACTTTGGAATGAGCGCCTCGCTTCACTGAGAGACAGACGGACGGACAATTAAATTTTTGGCGTTTCAAAAGTGCCTAATTAAGTGTTAATTGAATTAAATGCTTTGACTTTGAATCTATATTCGTCTCTGCGTAATGACGATACAGTGGAGTACATTCACTACTCTCATTCTTCAGGCAGGATTTTAAGAGCCGATAAAGTGACTACACAATTGAGTACTTGCCATAATCAAAAATAAATGATTGCGTCCGTTCAATACAATAAAATATTAATAAATAATCACACTCTCATTAATTACCAACTTAATTTTAGTATTTGTTCAGCAATTTTTTTAGTAATAAGTATGCTATTTGGCGGTAAAAAAACACAATCTCGTACAAAATTTATAGAAAACTGTCGTTGACAGTTCGAAAAAAGTATTGAATTTGACTAGTTGGCAAGTACCCAATTGACAGGGACTATTTCAAAGAGCTATCTGATAAACGTGAACTTTTTAACCTTCATGTAAAAGAGGCTTAAATTCTAGAAATGGACTGTTACACAATGATTGGTTTATAATTCACAACTATCTGCAATATTAAGGTGTAGGAACTTTATTCAATAAATCCTAATTGTACACAAAATATGACACTTAAACACAAAACACCCAGTGGACAGTGAAATAGACCATTACCATAAAAATCTCAAAAACCGACAACCCAACATAGACATTACATAAGAAAACATAAGGTAGAAATTAGAATATAGTTTGTATGGAATACGTACTGAATAAATTACCTTAGTTAGTAACAATAGGTTGGTGGTTAGGAATGAGTGAAGTTCGTTCGCGGCCCGTCCGTGCAACCGCGCTCGCCATCGGACCAACTCCGAGTATAACTCCTCGCCCGATAATTTTACTATTTCCTCCTGAAATCATAAAAGCATCTTATAAGTACCTTAGCACGCGGTAAGACTGAAAGATTCTTAGAGAAAGGTATGTATAAGCGGTTCAATAATAATCGTTTCATGGACATTTTTTTTTCAAGTAGATATTTTTCACAGCTTTAAAAGGTAATACAGGGCAGAAATCTTTTCGATTATCATCCCCCCTAATATTTTTTCAACTTCTCATCTTATACGTGAATATTTTAACGAAAATATTGGTACAGAACTTTATTATGATAAATAAACATGACTGCCTCGTTGACTGAGTGGTCGCAAGTGCAACTGCCTGACAAGAGGTCTCGGGTTCAATACCCAGGTCGGGCAGTGCACTATAGGGATTTTAGAAAACTCCAATACTAGCACGGAGTGTGGACGTGTGCCCGGTATATGGCAATAGGCTCACCCCCTATTACATGGGACTCATATCATAAATAGTGGACAGTGGCTGTTACATTGTACAGTGACATTAAGTGCCATAATGTGCACCTCTGCCTACCCCTTCGGGGATAAAAGGCGTGATGTTATGTTATGTTAAATAAACATAAATTTAGGTGAATATTATCGCTAAAATTCTAGACTTAAAGGATGAAAACTCTTTATTTCATCATCACATGAACGAACTTAAACTCCCCACTAATTATAACAAACTAAATCGTAGGTTTAACATACCTGTGTCTGGTAAGAAGCTTGATACAATTTGTAAGCAAGTACAACGGCTGTGAATGTGAGGAAGGCGGCGAGTATGGCGAGTAGAGGGCGCCACCAGCGCCCCGCCGTCCGCGTCGTGCCCGCGCTGCCCGTCAGTAGCGCTGGTTGGATTACTGCCGCGCCGCCCGCTGTAATCAAACAAATTAGTTAGACAAGTATGAAGTAGATATTAAACTTGATAATTTCTTTAACCACCACAGCCAGCTATAGATGACCAATACTGGACCCATCCGCCACAGACGGCCAATGCCGACAAAGTAACGTCATTTCATTATAAGTGCGTTTTGTTTGTAGTCTACAACCAAGCATGGCGCTCAAAACCTTTAACCTAGGACTTAGCACTTTTTTTTTAAGGGCGGAAAATCATCGAATGACTGCTCCCGCCTGAGTAAGGCAGGAGGGAGTGTCAGTTTCTTACTGACAAAAACCACCCGGTTCCTTCTCCTGCACGTCGAGCCGGAGCCCCGGTAACCTGTTAGGTTCTCCGCGACTCCGAATCGGTACCAGCCCTGTTGGGCATCCGTGGTGGTCTGATGACTCTTTGAGGCGCGCGCGGAACGCGACGCGCCGTACGCTCTGGTCTGTTTCTGGTCGGACGGGGAGCCACCCATGCTCGCCGTCCGCAGGCATCTCCGGCCATCGTCCCGCGAGGACTAGGCACTAGGACTTTTTTTTTGTTATTGGTGCATTTATAAACACCTAAAGCAGGCATTAATGTAAATAACAGAGTAAAACTATGAGCCGACTGAATATTTATATTAACTAAAGACCTATTAACACTCATTACTTGTAACAAAAAGGATTATAGGCAAATTATCTCAATGCAATGCAATAATATGTAGAAAGTAGATTTTCGCATGGTAACTTACCTGCAGCTATGATAGCTTCAGATTCTCGTCTGACAGGCGGTGAGGCGGCATCAGGTTGGTCGCCGCCCGCAGAACTACTGTCATCTTCAGGCGAATACTCTGATACTTCTAATTCTACTTCTGATGCTCGGAGGTCCTGGAATTGAAGATGTAAGAAATAAATTAAAGACTAAAGTGTCTTCGAGGCCCGAGTGAATAGGTTGCTTATGGGTCGACGTACTACATCGTAGGCCACATCATCGCTTACCACCAGGCGAGATAGTGGTCAAACGTCAATCCCATGTAATATATGAAAAAAATCACTAATGGGAAACTAGAAGTGGACAAAAGGAGTTGAGATGTATAATAAGGAGCAAGCTCTATTGTTGACGCATGAATTCATTTTCAAATTGCGAACTAAAATACTAATTAATGTTTAACCGACCCGAAATTCAAACTTAGACCTCTCATGCAACTGGAACTTCCTAAGAAAAGAAAATCCCAAAATTTAAAAAAATAACATCATCAACATCAATTCACTTTTTCGTCCTTAGAAATGGGATGATTCTAGAGCTCCAGGCTAATACACATTTATTTTATTATGTTTATTACATAACATAACACGCCCTTTTATCCCCGAAGGGGTAGGCAGAGGTGCACATTTCGGCACTTAATGCCACTGTACAATGTAACACCCACTTTTCACTATTTATGTTATGAGCCCCATGTAATAGGGGGTGAGCCTATTACCATATACCGGGCACATTTCCAGACTCCGTGCTACTACTGTAAAAACGCAGTAATACTTTGCCCGACCCGGAAATCGAACCCGAGACCCCTTGCCCGGCAGTCGCACTTGCGACCACTCGGCCAAAGAGGCAGTGTTCTTTTTATTGAAGCATAATAATACCTGTGGTTTAGGTACAGCTTGTTCGGGTGCTCTGGCGGCCTTCCATACGTGCATCATCAGCTTATAGGTGGAATCCCGCGAGAGCAGGGACCCGAACACGTGCCTCTCATCGCGAGTACACACACCGACTGCATTCGGGATTATACGGGCTACCTTCTCCTTTGTTATCCGGAGTACTGATATTATCGGGATAAGTAACTGGAAAGAAATTATCATTATCATCATTATGCTGTATAAAAAATTAATTGAATTTCATTCATATATTACAAATATTCATAAATTCTTTGTAAAATAAGAGATAGCACGATATTGAGATACAATTAAAAATTTAGTAACCTTTCAATATTTGGACGTAAGTGTACCTGTACTTATTACCTGCCCTGGTGATTGGTCAGAGCTAACGTCTAGCTAATACTAATACCTAGCAAGCGATCAAGTTATGACTTTAAATGTTTTTAATCAACCGAATGAGGTAAAATACTGCAAACCAGTTATGCGAGTTATAAATAAAATATATGTTATAAAAATATATTTCTTTTTCCTTAGCAATTCTTAACAATATTAGCATTCTTTATAGTATTTATGTTATATCGAAACTATTATAAATACAATAGTAGGTAAATGACATTGTTATTGGCATTTTTCAAGTGTGGTTGCCGAGCATAAAGACTAGTATTCAAAACTTAAAAAAAAATACAAATATTGAAAACAGCTTACTATAAGAACCGCCTGGGCCTATTTATAACCAGCGATGTTACGTTTCTATGTAAATATGCATAATTTCAGTAACACATTAATTAGAAACCATATCATTAATTTAGAAGACTTCAACCCATAAAATCTAGTTTCTAACAAACCACATCTTGCCATACGATTATCAACTTACTTGTAATACAATTAAGGTCTAATACGACTAAGTAATAGTGCCAAACGACATAGATTTGACAAATCACATCTTGCCACACGATTAGCAAGATAATTACAACCAATTTAAGGTCTAAAGTGGCTATGCAACACAGAGTTAGGTGGCAATTTAAAACGACTTTACAACCACAACACATAGCTTCTAGTGAACGACATCTTACCACACGATTAGCAACATAATTGCAATATATTTAAGGTCTTAAATAGCTATGCAACATAGAGGTATATAGAGTTGCTCACCTTGGTCACATATCCGAACACATTGGAGTAGAAAGCGAAGTAGTTCTTGGTGATGTACAGATGGCCTTGCAATAGCAGATCACCGACTAGGGCACACGAATAATCTGGAATAGAAAGAACAAAAATAATTAAAAATATACCCTAAGTTACGACACACAAAGCATCTTTTAATATACCTGGTTTGAAGTATTTACATAGATTTTCTTAAGAAGAAAAAATAATCGAGATAATGTCCTATGTTATTAGAAATAAGGTACATTTTTGTTCCGGTTTGGAATTTTGATGTTCTGACTATTTCTTGATGGTTTTAGTCGGTTATGTAATCATTTCGCTGTTCATTTATAATTAAAACAGTGCCTCTTATACTAATGATGTGGTTCCGGATGCCTCGAGCACCACAGAATTAGGTAACTGAATTTTTTGGGTGAGGAAAATGCTTTATAGTGATTTTTTCTAAACAGGGGATTATTTAGTAATGGGTTTATAGCGTTACCAACCATTTACTTCATTTACATGGAAGCTATGAAAATAAATCTGCCCCAAGTGTTTTATACTGTACATGATAAAAGTATTTTAACAATACCATTTCAGACTTTGCTATCCGTTTAAAAAAAACACGATTATCGCAATTTATGTGTAAATTATCCACGAATAGATTAAACTGTCAAACACCAAGCGGTCACCGGTGACCGCAACCTATTGTTCTATAATTGTGTCTACAAAACCGGTACTCGACGAGTTAAATATTATAAAATACTAAACACTCATTAAATTTTCCTTGTTTTCTTTGCATAGAAACGAAAATAAACGTAATCAGTTTCGACCCCAAACAAGGTCACTCCTGTCATAAGTATATCTAAACAAAGAAGCTATCTAACCCTGCACAAGACTACTTCAAAACTTTCCACTAAACCGAGGTCACATTAGGGTACACTAGACCTCAAACTTTGTATGTATAACCCACATCAAAAGTTATATCGTGACCTTATTTGCTTAGGAACCTGTTTGGAAATAATTAGTTTTATGCCCTGTATATTCTTCGTAATATTATTGTAGAATGTTCCATTTGATATTATTTTCTTTGTTAAGTAGGTACTTATTAAATAGGTTTTATATGAAGTTTGTTTTTATTTCAAGTTTTTATAACAAAACCACGTGTACGTGGTACATGTACTTGGTCAATTACATCATTTCTGAACTGTAACCTATATTTATGTTATATCTTTTGTGAGACATAGTATATTAATTATTATGTTTTCGGCTTACACAAGTAACTGATTGACGAGGAACTCGACTAGTTCCAAGCCATGCTAGAGTGGAGGCGAAGGTGCTCGCGCGCGTGTACAGCATGCGCGCGGAGGCACGTCGCCGGGGCGAAACCCCGCTGCCGCGCCAGATGGGTGCGTGGCGGGATGAGCTCCGGCGCGATCTCATGGCGGAATGGCAGCAACGACTGTCGCAACCGAGGGCTGGGCTCGCTGCCATCGCAGCGGTAAGTCCCCTCTTTGAGGAGTGGCTTGAGAGACGCTACGGCGTCCTCACCTACCGCCTGACGCAGGTCCTCACCGGACATGGAAGTTTCGGGAGGTACCTGTGTCTGATGGGGCGGGAGGAAACGCCCGGGTGTCATCACTGCGAGGACCGCCCTGAGGACACGGTGGAACACACGGTGGGAGAATGCCCTTCGTGGGCTGAGCACCGCCGTGTCCTCAGGGAAGTGATCGGCGATGGCGACCTCTCGCGTCCGGGCCTAGTGCAGGCCATGATGCGGAGCGAGGGGGATTGGGATGCCGTCTCCTCCTTTTGCGAAGCAGTCATGCTAGCTAAGGAGGAGGCGGGACGCGTGAGGCAGCGAAGCGCTGCCTCCTCGCAACCCAGCCATCGCGAAGGACACACCGGGCGTCGGGGATCGCGGGACGATCTCCGGCCACCGTAAGCGCGGGCCTGCGGACGGCGAGCATGGGTGGCTCCCCGTCCGACCAGAAACAGACCCGAGCGTACGGCGCGTCGCGTTCCGCGCGCGCCTCAAAGAGCCATCAGACCACCACAGATGGGGCCCAATAGGGCCGATGCCGATTCGGAGTCGCGGAGAACCTAACGGGTAACCGGGGCTCCGGCTCGACGTGCAGGAGAAGGAACGGGGTGGTTTTTAGTCAGTAAGAGTCTGACACTCCCTCCCGCCTCACCCAGGCGGGGGCAGTCATTCGATGATTTTCCCCCCTTAAAAAAAAAAAAAAAAAAGCCATGCTAGAGGCTCGTATTCATGAGCAGTATTTCACGACCATGTCGTGGTGGCCCTGAGGTTTAAGATGTACTTTCTAAGATTATTTAGACACCACTGTGAAAACATCGTGAGGAAACCTGGGCTTATGATTTATAATTATAAGTTTGTAATCACCAACCCGCATTGAGCAAGCGTGGTGATTAATGCTCAAACCTTCTCTGTGTGAGAAGAGGCTTTGCTCAGTAGTGGGCATTTATAGGCTGTTGATGATGATGATGATGATTTCGCGACCTATATCGTTGGTATGTTTAGAAAACAATAATTTCGGATAGTTATGTGTCCATTTCAATGAATTTTAAGTTATTAAAATTATACATACTTCGATACAGGGCTAATTTTTTATTCTATTTGTAAACTCTATCTGTTGGTTTTATATTAACTATGCCTTAACTAACGTTTGACCTCGACTGAATTTTGATTATATTGCATAAGTGTCGTGTTTGAATGTTCTTTATGAAAATTACTTATAGAACTACGTAGGCATCATAGGAAATTGGTTTCTTAAGTCTAGTAAAATACTAGAGGGTAATTTGAGTTTGCTAAATCCGAACAAATCATTTAGACTTAAATATTTGGTAATATATGTAGCCAAACTAAAGGAAAAATGCCGCAATTTCCTCGTTGGCCGAGTGGTCGCAAGTGCGACTGCTGGGCAAAGGGTCTCGGGTTCGATTCTAGGGTCGGCCAAGTATAACCAACCAACGGCCAACGGAGTCCGGACATGTCCTCGGTATATGGCAATAGGCTCACCCCCTATTACATGGGAATCATAACATAAATAGTATAATGTGGGTGTTACATTGTACATGAGATTGGCATTACGAGCCGTAATGTGCACCTCTGCCAACGCCTTCAGGAATAAAAGGCGTTATGTTATGTTATTTTAATCTTCATAGCCCATTAACCTATTTCCATTAAGTTAATTAAAGACTACCTCTATCTGCTCCTGTTTTGTGGCCAGATCCCGTAACTATGTCCAAAACATATGTAAAGAGGTCATATATCAGGGTTCACAAACACGAGATTGACGAGAGGGTTCAATGACTTCCCTCTTTAGTGATGTCATACTCTGAATTTCATATTTCGATAATCTAGGACGAGGCATTGACTTTGAAATAGTATTCAGAAATACTGCTAACTTCTTACGTCACGTCAGTGACCTCATTTTAGCAAATGGCTAACAGGAAAATCTAAATAATTCCTTATATGGTTTTTACAGGAAGACTGGTATCGGAAAAAACTGTGTTCGAAAACTGCGTGTGCTACGTGGAATTCACCAAGGCCGAATTTGACGTTTTACTTATCAAAGTATTTACACGGTAACTCAATCCTTTAGGAATCAATGAAGTGCAAAAGTGATTTTTACATCAAACAACCAACTTTTAATCAATGAAAATAAAAAAAAAATGTTTAAGGAAAGTCACACTTATTGGTATACTATCGACACGTAATGCAGATGATTGTATATACAATTACTATACGTAATATAGAAAAAAATCAATAATAATATTATCCAATAAAAAAAACTATATTACTACCTCTACACAGAAGACAGAGGCCACAGGTTATGTGATTGATGTGGCGCTCAACAAAAATAAAGTATCATAAAAACAATTTATTTATTTTCGTCATTAGTAATTAAATCCTCTAGTCAGATGCCTGAGGGCTTAGTACGAGTTAGTTTTACGTTAAAGTAATCGAAACGAGAACGCGTTCGGCGTTTGGATTGGTTGGTTCATTAGCATCGACCAATCACAGTGCCGAGCGTACTCGTTACGATTACTTTAAACGTAAAAGAAACTCGTACTAACGCCTCTGTCTTGTATAAGGCCCTCTCTGCTCTAACCTTTACCTAGACAACAGTTTCATAAATCAAGACCGAAATCGCTACCAGACGGTAGGTGATGAAACTTCTATTATTCTAAATCGCTGGCACTTAGTCTTGCAATAGTATCATTATCTTTTGACGTACTGTAATCAAGTCTATTCTGTGGCAGCACTAACTTTCTAACGAGAGCTTTGGGAAAACCGCAATAAAATGATGAGAATGACGCCTTTCACTTAATATTTTCAGATCTAGATAAAACAATGTGAGTTATAACTTTTTCGCTGTTCATAGTTGGCGCCACTGTCGATTAATGTGTTGTTGCGTTAGTTTATACTAGTTACATACCCAAGAAACTATATTTTTCTAGTCAAACTAATTGTCAAAAGCACTACTGTTATTAATTAAGAAAACTGTGATAAAGATAAGAAAATCTAGTGATACTCCGTATTTTTATCTTAAGTAAAGAAGATAACGTTTATACGCCGCAATAAAAGCTTTTAAGTCCCCCTAATCTGTTATAGCTCCTAAATAATAATAAAATTACTTGTTATGAAAGAGCCGAAACGAATATTAAAGATTTCGAAGTTTTAAAACGAATTCAAATTCCATTTCGATTACTGGGGGATTATGGCGGAGTGGAACTCTCAAACAAGTCGATTACTTGGAGTACACATAAACACAGAATCGGATAGCGATAACGCTAACTTTCGCAATCAAAACTTTATACCAGCTATTCTAACTTCTATTATATTATAGAAAATTTTATTCGTCTTACTGTCTGATTTGTCTTTGGTCAGTTAAACAGAGATTTTCAGTTTTCGGAAAATCTCAGCGTAGCGCAGAATCTGGTGTAAGTATAACTCCCCTTTTAAAAAACATAATTGGCGAAAGACTAACGTTGTAACATATTTTATATCTTCATATTTTGATCATTTTATAGGTATGATGTTTAAAATAATTTTCTTTGAGTAACTTACAATTGAGCACCTTCTCTTCAGGCCCTACTTGAGGAAAGTGCCTTTGGAATTTTTTCTGCCGGGACTTGCTCGGTTGCTTGCCATCGGTTGTATCACCGGTACCCGTCGCACTAGGAGGTGGAGCGCGCACGGACGGCGCTGAACCCGACAAAGGCTTTATGGCTTGTCTGGAAAGAAAAAGAATACATTTAATACAATACTCAATTGAAGCTAGTTAATCTACATATACGAGATTAAATAATAGATTTGAATTTAAGGTAAAAGATATGCAAAAATTGTTTTGGTAGGGGCTCTGTGGTGGTTTACCTATACCTAGTTCAACATACAATGGGACAGAAGCGGACTTTATGTATGTAGGATTGTAGGTACATTCATCATTATAGAATTCGATATTTTCCTGCCGCGTAGTAAATACTTATGATAAGCTATCGGTCATTATAAATAACAAACAATTCCTAACAAAGAAACGAGAACGGGATAAGAAACATTCATGTATGTGTGTCAAATGTTATAAGAACATCAAAACATAGGATATCCTTTACTTTACCAACAGAACGAAAACTAGAAATCTCCATATCAATAATAGATATTGCTTTCTGCCTTCGGCATTACCATATAGGTTCAATAACAAAATCACTAGAGGAAAACACGACTTTCTATTTTGTTCAAACAATATTCAAGTCCTTTGATAATAAAATAAGATAGAACTGGCATAAATAAGAAATCCTTCAACTAAGGAAACTTACAAGGTAAATGTTACAATACTTACAATGAGACTACATTAACGTTTAAATTATAGCCGTTGTAGGCTAATAGGTAATCACATGACATGTTATAGTACATTAAGTACTTACTATATCCATAACCCATAATTAGTTTTATGAATGCTTCGTGTGTATACATTAATCCAGATGACATGTCTGGGTAAGAATGTAAGAACAAAAATATTCATTGATTTCGTCAAACAGAGAAATTACTTTGGGGTCATAGTGCAGTAGATTTATTGTTATGGGATATAAGCAAATCTTAAGCAAGTCCAATTATGTACCATGGGCCTTGTATATCTGGAACTGGAACTACCTTCTATGCTGAGGCACTCTTTAAAATTGGTATTGTTAATTATAGAGGTATAAAAATGACTTGCAAGCTTTTGATCTCTCCATAGTCTCGCCTGTGATACAGGATATTCTTCCTAGTAAGATCTCTAATTTTAAATTAAGATGTTTATCTGTACGTTATTATTTCTTATAATGAATAAAGATTTATTTTTATTTAGTGGGTACCTGATATACTACAAGAGGCGTTGCGGAAGACATAAAACCTTAACGACTGCTCTATTTGTTTAATACGCTCTATAATTCTATTGTAATTACCTTTTCATAGAAAAAGAATAACAATTATACCCCTAAATAAAACTATTTGGAAAAAACCATGCAATCCTAATTAAATCAACGCTAGCCCAATAAACCCGTACCATTTCCTGAAGCTTTGAGCTTTACGACTACTAAATAGCGTAACATTATGGTAATTCGGTTACGATACAAATGTTTTACGATACACGAAACGACCCCTTAAACCTATTATTATAAATTACCGCTAAAACAAAGTCAGTGGGTAAATCAAAATAGTGCGTGGAACGTAATCCATTCCTTTACAATTCGGTTGTATGTTTTTAGGTGGTGACCCAACTAGCGTCGAAGCCCTATTAGGTCACTCCCTAAATCTTTCAAAGCGGTCATGCAGGCGATTACTTCTCACCTGGACCTTTGAACGGATACCACAAATGAGGTCAGTGGGTCAGTAAAACATATTTATTTCTATTCATTCGCTGCGTGAACGAAGCGTCACCTCGGCCTCAAATTCAGTCAGTCATATTATCGTTATTTTACCTAGCTGTCAAAATCAGAAATTATTTTGGACACAAGAAGCCCCTTTCATTCATCAATCGTAGAAATAATAGAAGTGAATCGGTTTCCTGCAAATAATGATCAGGCAATGTTATTGAGGACTGCAGGACTGCAGTTGATAGCGAGTCTGTTCTCAATGGTCTACTCGTTATTATACAGAATGCATTTAAGGAAGTATGTATTTGCCCATAAAAATGTTTTCTTGTATTTTTAGGAGAATGGTATTCAAACCAGAGACATTCTTTAGGTAAGAAAACATTGATTCATTATTAATTTATTAAGAAGATTCAATATCTTCTTAATATTATCATTCCTTAAAACAAATTGTGCCTGTGTTCTCCAATAACAAAAATGTATACAAACAAATAATTAACAATCTAAAACAACACAACAATATTCACGAAAAAAAAAAAAAAAAAAAGCAAATGCCGGGAAAGTAGGGACATTTTATTAAATATTTCGTACGGCCAAAAGTGCCGTAATCGCCCGAAAAGGCAAAGTATTACAAATTTTACTTAAGTACAAAGAATAACCGTTTCCTAAAAGTAAAAGGTCAATGTTCTGGTTGATAGCACTTTTAGCATACTCTAAAGTTTTATAAAAAAGAGGTTAAAGATAAAGTGGTTCAATATGGCACAGTATAAACACGGAAATGACAAACATGTTGATAGATTCCACAAAAATAATGACGAAGGGATTTGAAACTAGTTTAATGTCAAGGATAAAACCAAATATTTGTACTAAAATAACACAAGTATCTATAAAAACACATTAATGTTGTTTGACGAGTTCCAAGTTATATATTTATCGCTATTAGCCGAAATAGGTAATCACTTGTGGCTTTTAGAGCTGATGGATGGAAAACACGTATTTCATAGCTTTATATACACACATAACACCACGCCTTTTATCCCCGAAGGAGTAGTCAGAGGTGCACATTACAGCAATTAATGCCACAATGGCATTAATTGCCGTAATGAGCACCTCAATGTAACACCCGTTTTTCACTATTTATGTTATGAGTCTCATGTAATATGGTGTGAGCCTATTGCCATATACCGGGCACAATTCCAGACTCCGTGTTACTGCTCCAGGCTCCGTGTTACCGTGTACTGCTGAGAATTTTTAAAAAAACCTAGTAATACTTTGCCGGGAATCGGACCCGAGACCCCTTGCCCGGAAAAAATGGTCTTTGACTCTACCGATAAAAATCACAAATAGATTTAGTCTTCACAGTATAACCATATATCCAAAATTCATACATTTACATTTGAAAGACAGTTTTTTCATCAATCTGCTCCCTTAGCCAGTTTTTGCAATTGCCTTCACTACTAAATATTCGATGCGCAGTAACGATAACTTCATGTTTTATGTAACAACCGTGTTTGTTCCATGCTGTTTCTAAAAGGTCAAGAATGGGTCGGTTTCCTTAAAAAATCATTTCATTTGTTGAAGTTGAACCTACATATTATGCTCTTGTGAGACTACCTACAGCATTATTGCCAGTGCACAGAATAATTCAGTCTGAATTATGAGTAATTAAGCCACTTAATTGTGCATGTAATGGCTACAATTTTTTGGTAGAAAGTTGACTTTGCTGTTCTGGCTAACATTTTCTCTTTCATCTGTTATCTTTATAAAAACAGGCGGTTTATTAACACTTGTATAAAAATTTGCTGATGACGTTAATTAGTGCCTGATAATTTGCACTGATTTCTAAATCTATTATTACGAAATATGCATGTGTGTGCATACAAAAGTAGTATCTAAACATCGGAAATAAGGTCTATAATGGATTAAGTGGAGAGCGGTAACAGCTTAGGTACTCGGCAGTATCTGTGTATGCATACTGACAATGTCTACCTTTGCATACTACAGTTACATTACAACCAAATAGGATTATCCATCAACAATGAACAATTTGGTTTTTAACAAAGTTCATGAAGCCGCAATGTTTCCCATAATGCTATGATTACGGAGCACGTGATGACCCACGGCGCGGCTCACAATTTGCTGCTATGCACGTGACTAGCACATAATAAGCATATTGTTATACGTCACATGGACATCGGCGAAAGAATACATTCTCTGTTATGGTGTTTATCGTACACCTTCACCGGTGAGCATTTACGGAGACCACTAACATTTCTTTGCATAATTAGTGGAATGATTGTGCCAAGTCTGCTCGCGGAGTCAACAACCTTATCGTAAGTTATTCAATTGCCAGGAAACGACGCGATATTGTGAACAATTCTCTACCTTTTTAACACAATATTTTATTGAAACTAAAAGAAATTTACATCAAGAAATGTGACAATGAAGAATTTTTTAGTAACTGTCTACTAAAGTAATCCACGTCGTGAAAACGTGATTGACCACGTTTGCTTTAGCCTGGTGTGATCAACAAATCGAGTAATCACAATCAGAAGCCGTACACAAACGTGTTGAGTTGAAAGACCTTACTGGTCATGTTACTGCCGTTACTGGCAACATTAATGCCAAACTTCCAAGGTCTTGGTTAAGAATAGAATGCCACTTCCCGCTGCAAATAAATACGTTATTTGAAGAATGGCCGGATTGGTCAGCTGAACAATGGCCTTATTTGGAAAGTTTCGAGTGAATTAATGCGCAAATGTGAAAGATTAAGGATATCTTACAATAAATATTGTTGATTGAATTGTATACATTTATAAAACTATTAGATTATTTGATAAAATAAAATTGTAAATATTAGGCATTGTGGAAATTGCAAATAGTTATTTTGTTCAATGGCTTTAATACAATGTCCCATACAGATAATGCTCCCAAAACTACGGAAATAATAACTCATGGACTTTGGAAAATAACTTTACTATCTGATATCAATCGCTTCATCTGCAGGTGTTTTAGTAGATAGGTATGATAAAATAGAAGTCCTCATATCATACGATACATTATATTTATCTATTCTGATATTTTGGATGGGTCGATGCCGACACCTAATTGTAGGATTATTCAGAAACATTACAGGGTTTTATGAAATCATGTAACATGTTTTATTGGAAGCCCAGTTAAGCCGTCCACGTCGAAGAAAATCTAGGATTTTCAAAATGTTACTTACTAAACTTTTCTATTAACAAAATTCTAGAATATTCGAATTAGATTCGGAATGTGGTCGTTGTTATATGTCAATAAATTGGTAAAGTATCGTACATGGTACAATTAACCTAACATGTACCTACAACTCTACCGACACATTTTATGAATAAACAAACTTACGG